GAGGGGAAAGGGGAGGAGGGAGAAGGGGAAGGAGAGGAGGGAGAGGGGGAAAGGGAAGAAGAAAGGGAAGAAGGACAGGGAAAAGGAGAGGAAGAGGAAATAGAAAGGAAAGAAAATGGGACAGAGGAAGAAGATGAGGAGAAAGAGGTAGACAATAAGAGAAAAGACGGGAAGTGCCAAGAGAAAAGTAGAACAAGTGAAAGTCATGGTGATAGAGAAAAGTCAAATGTGAGCAAAATAAAAGGATCTGTGAAATATACTAAACATAGAGCATATCAGAGAAAGCTAATTACTAACCCAGAGGGAAAGGGGAAAGAGCAGAGGTTCAAAATGGCAGAACAGCCATTAGACAGTGTGCCACCAGGTTCCAAAAAATTCTGGAGTAATGTATTACCGCATTATTTGGATTTGAATTAACAACCTTTACTTTTGATTTGACTATAGCCAGCCAAATCATTTGCGTGTCTTTCATGTACTAGGTACTCCTTACATTTTATTAAGCTAGTTTTGTATCATGGTTATTTTACATGGAGTAAAGAAACAAATGCCAGGTGTGGTGGTGCATACTCAGCACTAAGGAGGCTCAGGTAGGAGGGTCACTGAGAGTTTGAGGCCAGCCTGGTCTACATAGGGAGTTCTAGGCCTGCTTGAAGTATATAATGAGACCCTGTCTCAAAGAAAAAAAAAGAAGCAACTATCGGCAATTTTGCTAAGCCATCAATAGTCACAGAATTGCTGATAAATTTTGGTTCCTCTTACACTGATACCTTGTTGTATTATAAATCTCTAACTAGAAAATATTAAAAGGTTATATCAGATAGTTAACCTTAGACATTCTTCGTTAAAGGCAGATTTGGGAAATATATATATATATAAAATCAGTCCATTCAAAAATAGTACAGATCCTGCTTGTAATCCTAGCACTGGGAAAGCTGAGGCAGCCAGAGGATCACCTTGAGTTTAAAGCCAGCCTTCGATACATAGTGAGTTAAAGGCCAGCCTGAACTGCATAGCAAGACCCTGTCACTAAACAAAAAATACAGATCCTTAAGGGCTATCAAAATTTTGGACTTCTTATTAATTCATTAGCACATTTTTTCTATCTTTGATTATAGTTTGTTTTTGGTTTTTGTCTTTTTGAGACAGGGTCTCTCTATGCAGTTCAGGCTGACCTTGAACTCACTTTGTAGCTCAGGCTGGCCTCAAACTCGCAACGGTCCTCCTGCCTCAGCCTCCCGAGTGCTGGGATTACGTGTGCACCACCACGCCCAGCCCTTGATTATAGTTTACCTACCATATAGAATAATTTTATAAGAATGGATGGTATTCTGAAATGAAAATGAGGAATTTACATTTTAAAGGAATAGTTCTGTTCTTTTACCTTTCTTGAACTTTTTGACCAGAATCTACAAAGTGACAGCCATGTTAAGTGCTGAGGTCATAATAATATAATCTCTTTACATTACTGCCGAGGCAGATGTCAGTATAATGAAGTAGAAATTAACTATATGTATTATCTGAGAGTATGTAAAACTTTCAAGTGTTTATCAGCTAGTTACTCAGTGAGCCTCAGCTTTCTCATTTGTAAAATGGAGTAGAAGAGATGATGACTATAGTCTCTTCTAAATCTTAAATTCTGTCCATTTTGACAGGCTGATTTGTTCTATCATTTTAATTGTATAAAAACTTTCTAAGAAAGAAAAATTTAAAAATTAATTTAGTTTTTTTATAAAATATTACCTTTTACTCTTAAAATATTGTGATAGATTTAATGTCTCTGTCTTCTGTAATTCTGTATTTCTAGTCTCCTAATTTCTGAGATTTAACTGTCCTGTTAGAACCCTCATTCCTCATACCTGTTATGTGCCCTCAAAGTATTCTTTATTAGCTGTTCTGTAATTCTCAATTTGTCTGTTGCGTGTTAGAATATCTCAAGTAAAATAAAGATTAAATGTATACAATCAGTAATTGTTTGTGAAAAACTAATATTAGATACTTTATTTTAGAGAGGCTAAATTTCCACTAAAGTAATTTCAGTCTTTCTTTAAAGTTTTCAGTGTGTGTGATGCAGCTAGTTTGTTTGATTCTTGTGTGCTCTTAGATCGTTTTTCAGTTGATCTGCTTTACCAGTCAGTTACTTCCCTATCAGAACATGAAGGATTTCTTACACTTTTCTCAAGGACTATTTTGATAGTAAACTCCCCTGTGAATTTTGTGTAGTTGAATTCTTTGTACATTTGCTTCCCTGTGAATGAGAAAGAATATAAGAAAAAAGAGTAAGTTAAATGAAGTAAAGAATTTCCTAGGAACAGTTGTAGATTGTATCGTAGCTGGAAGGATCCTCGGTTCATGAACTTGATTCTTTACATGATTCTAGTTGCAAACCAAATTGGAGAAGAATTGACTCAAATTCAATGGTTAGGTTACATGTTGACCTTATGGAGAAATTGATTCAGTTCTTGTCCAGTTCAGTTTGCCTGCCTGGCAAGCGTGAGGTCCTGAGTTTGATGACTGGGACCAAAAAAAAAAAAAAAAAAAAAAAAAGCAGAAAAAGAGACCATTGAGAGAATTGAGTTTCTGAACCAAGGTATTACTTTCATTGGCTTGCCATTGCAGTGCTTGACCACATTCTGACACATCTATTAAGTGTTTATGGAGTAGAATTAATACTGTGTTAATGTATATGAGCCAAATATGGTTGTTTAGAAGTAGACATAAAGTGACTAAATAAGATGGATGACACATGGAATTCATAAAAACAATTTATAAGGACGTTCCACAAAGAAGAAAAACTCTTAGACTCAAGTTATTAATGTCAAAAGTAGGGGCATTTATCTTCTCTTGGTGAGATAATCAACCACAAATACCAAAATGGTGTTCTAAAGTATACCCATCTCAATTCTGAACTTTTTTTTTTTTTTTGGTGCCTGGAATCAAACTCAGGACCTCACGCTTGCCAGGCAGGCTCTGTACTGCTGAGCTATATCCCCGACCCCTTTCAATGGTATCAAACAGGCGCTGTGCCACTGAGCTATATCCCCAGACTTAGTTTTGAGCTTTTAAAAAGCATTTCTTACCCATTTCTCCGTATTTCCCTGGCCAGCAACTTTGTGTGCTCTTTAGAGGGAGTAGCTCCTGTGAGCTTAGTATTGAAGTCAAAAGAGCACTAGCTTAGTCATTTTGAGACCAGGGCCCTATTATAGCTTTGCACTTTGACACCGTATAAACCTGGACCACTTTGTTAGCCTTTGCAGGCCTCTTTCTTCATCTGTAGAAGTGTAGAATTAGGGTGATCTAAGGGATTCTGTAGGAACACCAACTAGAGCTTTGTCAGAAGCAGAATTGCTGATATTCCATTTCCTCAGTAGTCTTGAGTCACCCAAATCACCCCACATTTAAGTAACTTATAGTTGCAGTGATCCTAAACTACGCACGCCACTGTCTGTGCCCGCTGTGCCGTGAACATGTATTTAATCATATATGTGTCAGGCCTAGTGCCTTCTAATGTGAATGGAAAGGAGTTTACTAGTGGTTAGTGGTAGAATGGCATAAGGGATGCAAGAACTAAGACTTTCATGAATAGAAGTGATTTAAATATTTGTAACTCTTACATATCTTAGGAGAGAAAGTGAAATTAAGAATGAGATCATTTTGCCCCTCATGAGTTACACTTGGATATATACATT